CTTTTGAGATTAGTTTTAATATGGCAAATTGAATACAAGAGTAGGCTTTGGTGTTATGGTATTGGTTATTTATTTTGCTGTTTTATTTTTTAATTCTAATTCTGTCATTGATAAATTATTTAAGCATCTTCAGCCTCAATTTCTGATCTGTAAATTGGCTACTAAAATTTGGTACCAAGATTTATCTCTGGAGTTATTGTTATGGATATTGGAAGAAATATTGTATATGAAATAGAATTTTTATGGATGTCATAATACTCTATTAATGTTAACTATTATTACTGTTTTAATCCCAATAATAAACTCTATTATTCTGAGAATTAAAGTAAAGCCAAGCAGTATATATAAAAAAGCACATAATAATGTACAGTTGTAATGTTTTATAGTCAGCATTGAGTTTGGCTTCCATGAAAGCCAGGTAGAGAGTCATGGTACTTACCTTCAGAGGATCTGCAACTGAGATGTAAATCTATTGGAAGATGAGAAAATTTCTAGTATATTTGAATTAGTCTACCCAATGTAGTTTAGAGTAATTTCCTTTGTTCCTTAATTATTAACTRTTTCATGGGAAAACGAAAAAGGCTACTAGTCTTTTGGTGTATTACTATGTCAGTGTTTGGAAGAAGTGTCATACAAGTGGAGATTTGAATGTGCTGTTTTATTTCATTTTCTTTTATTTGGCTAGTGAAATATAAAGTACTGTTAAATACCATGGGAAACATGATTGTTTTATACAAACAAAATCATTTTGACTTTGAAAAGATCTGATATATGACCTTCAGAAGTTTTAGCAGATGTAAATGTCAGATGCCTCTGTTGGATTAATAAGTCAAATGTCAAATGGAAGATGATTATAAGCTTTAATTATGTTGCTTTTAGAGGACAAGTTTTATGAAAATCAAAGCTTTAATAGTGGCCATAATTAACAATTTTTTTCATTATAAGCAATAACAAGGAACTCTATAATAAAAAATGAAAGTTCTAAGAAATGAAACAAATTAAATATAATATCGTGTGTGTGTTTTTTAAATAATGTGATAACTTTATTTTTCCTCCAATAAATGTGAAACCTTTTATAGTTAAGTGAACAGGAAAGTATGTCTGCATTGCTAGGATTTTTTTCAAAATTAGTTTAACCCTTGTAAATTATAACACTCTGTATACTTTATGGGTCTTTTCTACCTCATCATTAATAATTAGCTAGCTTCTCTTAGAGATAGTAAGAACTTCGAAAACGGTCACAATTTTAAAGTAGCAATATAAATCCATTGTCCATATACAGTGCTGGTTATGAAARAAAGAGAAGGCAAGGTCAGCTGGGGGTGAGAGGAAAAGATGATGGGGATATGGAAGGCAGAGGAAAGACAAGCAACAGTTGTTTTTGGTTGTTTCAGGTATACTTGCTCAGATATATCAGGATGTTCAATGATTTCTAATGAAAGGAAATTCCTGACTCTGCACTCTTGTACCCAGGATTGTTTAAAAGAAAAACTGGCTGGATTTTTGCATTAATTAATATTATAAAATGTTTAAGTACAGATGTCTGGAGGTTTTGTTTGTTTTGTATTTACAAGACTGGCTTTAGGTAGGCTTGGAGAACTTCTTAATAGGCCAGATTTCATTCAGTTTTACTRGTTTAACCTCAGAGAATAAAATTTTTCTCTAGGGGGATTTAATGTTGTCTGCCAAGCAACCTAAGGTTAATGAATTTTAGTTTTTATATATGATCTTAAGCTAAGTGTCTATTTTAGGACACAAATATAGGTTTACTGTGGTGAAGCTGCCAGGAAATACTAATTAGTGTAASGATTATAGATGGCAACCTTGGGTCTTTAAACTTCCGAATTTGTTTGATTTGATGATGCTGGGTTATGGAACTCTTGATGACCAAAAGCAGATATCATRTTGTAATTTAACTTATTGAAATGGCACAGATAACAGTGGAAGCTTTTTATAAAAGTAACCCACAAAATGTGTTACTTTGAAATGAGTTAGCAATTCATTTATGGGAATTCTCACCAGATCTTAGATATGAACCAAAGAGTTTTGTTTCTTGGAGACTGAAAAGATATAGTTTCTTAAAAATGCTTTTTGTGGGCTGGGGATGTGGCTTAAGCRGTAGTGCGCTCGCCTGGCATGCGTGCGGCCCGGGTTTAATCCTCAGCACCACATACAAAGATGTTGTGTCTGCTGAAAACTAAAAAAAAWAAATAAATATTAGAAATTCTCTCTAAAAAAATGCTTTTTGTTATGGTAGTGATATATAGTAAAATTCTACTTGCTTGTGAAGTCAGTGTTATATTTTAATAATTTCAAACATGTTAAAAATACAAAGTTTACTAATAGGTAGAACACATTATCTTTCTCAATAAATCTACAAGTCCTTTAGTTTCTGTCCTCAGTGCCGTTACCTTTGTTCGAAAAAATTCAGACATTTGACAGTGGTTTGCTGCAGCTGGTTTTTTCTAGCTGAGCCAATTGTTAACATATTTAGGAAGTTTGTAAGCTTGTTGTTTAACATAACCACTATTAAACATTAAATTGTTGAAACTTACACTAAAGTTATAAAACCTCAGAATAAATAATAAAAAAMTAAAACCTCAGAAGTTCTCACTTTCTAATTATTTTATTATCTGTGCTATTGAGGTTATTTATGTTCAAAGTATCTGAGTGGTAAACCTACTATATTATAATATGCAACTGCATATCTCTTTCCAATCTGTTCAATGACTTCATATTGGTAACTTGAAATTGGTCCTAGTGAGAGTATTTACATCACAGAAAATKGCCAATGCCATAGGTCAGTTTTTTTTTTTCTCTTTCTTTCTGAAGAAGGAATTGTTAAATATTTGCCTTCACACCACTACTTGCAGCTGGCTAGCTTTTGTTCTCTCTGCTTTCAATGCCTCTTCCCAAATGTATGTCTAGCACAACTAATCATACTTAATTTTCTTAAATAGCAAAAGCTAAACATGGTAAAGGAAAGAATGAAGTCAAAAGAATGTGGAAAAATCTAGGCTTTGACATTTAGTAATTCAGACAAGTTTAACATATCTGAGCATGATTTTTCTCCCTTTTTTCTCTACTCACATGACAAGCTTTTTACATTAAAGTCACAATGTACTCATGGTTGTGAAAGAGGCTTGAAAAGTGCTGTGCAAGGTTTTACTAATAGCAAGCTTTTGTTTTACCTGTTTTACTTCTTGGCTTAAGTTTACCAAGGATCATAACCTAAATCCAATCCTAAATGTCTGTCTCTGTTTTCCCTAGCCTATCATTTATATTTCCAACTTCACCCTCCAGTATGTTGGTCGCTGGGATGCTGAGCACTAGGTGGAGGTGCAATGCCTTTCTCAGATGGTGCCAACTGCAGACATGATGTGGTCCTGGTGCTTCTTGTCCTACGACATTCAGATGGGCCTCATCTATTTTCATTATTTTTCTTAGGAAAAATGACCAATGGATCAGACCCAGCAATGAAGACTGAATCTAATTATCACCTTTTGTTAAAGAAAGCTCTTGTTTAAATGCATATTTGCAAGTTAATGAAAAAAAGTGACATTAAGCATCACATCACTGATATCCTCATTAATATCTTAGCAAGAAATGATTAATAGAATTACTTAATTTTAGAGCTGGGCCTTAATTCATTTAAATCTTTTATTTTAAATTTTTTTAAAAAAATATTTATTTATTTATTCTAATTAGATATATATGACAGCAGAATGCATTTTGATCCATTGTCCACAATTYCAACACAACTTTTCATTTCTTTAGTTGTAAACGATGTAGCATTGCACCAAAAGTGTGGTTGAAAGACAAATTTTAGAAATATCAGGAACATAGAGTGGTCCCTGAAAAAAGAAGCTAGAGAAGAAGAAATGTGAAGAAGAATCCAGACCCTTAATGTCGAAGTGATGAGGTCAGACATGGAAGGCCATCTGCAAAGTTTTGCTCTGTAATAATATCAAAATCTTTGAATGTGGCATTACACTCCCTTTTAAAAAATTCTGAAATGCCTAGTTAGAGTATTTGTTCCTATTATAAATTTATCTTTCCTCTCAGGGCTAACATGCTCCTTTTTGAGTTTTGGTGGTTTAACAGGGCATTTTGATGCATAATCAAATGAAGTGCCAATGACACCAGATTTTACAATTCTCTGGAACAAAGAAAGATGCTGAGGGAGAAAGCATAATTTGGGGAATAATTAAATGCAAGTTTCCTTTCTTCAATAGATAAGTGAAAATTCACCTGAGGGAGTTCTCATTCTCTTAAATTTTATTTAGAAATGTTTCTTTGTCCATGATTTATTTCAAWTTTTTCACCTGTCTCTTCTTCTTTCTTTTTAGATTTTCTTATTTCTGAAGATTATTCTGCCTTATCCATAATAGTTAGAAATGATATATCTGAAAATACTGGGGTATTCTGTTTAATTATTTTCCACACCACTATCACTAATTTTCATCACAAATTGTTATTGATTAGATGCCTAGAAGACAGCCATGTAACTATAGTGGAGTGAGGTAAAGAAACATAAGAGAGTTACAATTCCTACTCTCAAATGATGATTCAGACATGATAAGTAAGTCCACAAATTGATATAAACTACTCACTCCTAGCTATAGTCTGTTCCTTTTATATATAAGTCTTTGCTGAGTACCTTGTTTTAGAATGACAGTTATGGAAGATGATAATTAAGTATCTGTTGTCTGTTTATCAGTCAGGTTTTGTTTTCCTTTGGGAAGTATCATACCATCATTATTCCTGATCCCTTTGACAAAGAGATGGTCACATTACTTAAGCAGTGTTGATGTTTTATACAGGTATATCTGGTAGGATATGAATTCTGTTATTTATATAAATTGACTTATTGTCATATTTATGCATGCCTCTGGTACTATTCACATGCTAGAAGATTTAAATTGGTATCAGATTCCATGTTTATGTTGGAAACCAAATCAAAGGAATACTTATATGTGCTATGCCTCTTTCTGTTTTAGCTGGACTAGACCAATTTTGAGGAAAGGGTACAGACAGCGCCTGGAATTGTCAGACATATACCAAATTCCTTCTGCTGATTCTGCTGACAATCTATCTGAAAAGTTGGAAAGGTATGTACATGAAGATTGTTATTAGTTGAAGAGATACAGTCATATTATTAATTACTTAAAGATATAAAACTAGCATTTTAAAGGACTTAATTCTTAAACTGGCACATTTAAAATCAGAACATTTTATAGGCTCACTAAAATCTTGACCAGTTCAAGAATTAAACAATGAAATCATGACAGAAAGCTAAGTATTTGCTTGAGAAATGACTTATTTTTGCAGAAAACACATTATTTACATTCTGAGAATTTATGTCTCTTTGAAGAGCATGAGGTGGATTTTATGAAGACTAAAGCAACATCATTATGAAGCAAATCATGTATTTTTGCTTCCAAAATCTTAATATGTGAATTCCAATATGGTTCCTGGGAAMTCTTAAGGCAATGGTTATTGGATACCAAGATGTAAAAAGAAATCATATTTTTGAGTACCTATTACCAAAAAAGCACTATTATCTCCATCCTATAGAAGAGCAAACTGAGGCTTGAAAAGATAATGTCACTTGCCAATGAATAAATGATGGGGCCATGATTCCAACCTAGGTCTATACTGTCCACCTGTAGAAACACTGTTGCCTACAGTGAAGAACTTCCTAGAGTTCCCCTTTTGATGAGTATTGGTTAGGACCTTTTTGATTGCCAGTGATGGAAACCAAATTAATAAGTTTAAGTAAATAGAGGGAATTTATTGACTCATGAAGTCAAACCATGTGAACATCTAGTTAGCTACCTGGCCTTAGGGAATCTGTGGAACCAAGGTCTTAAATATTACCTGGTGGCATTTGCCTTATGCTGATTTAGTCTCTCAGAATGGCTTTCTCCGTGTTATGGGTCCTTACCAAAAACTCATTGCTTTCCCCCTTTATACACTAGAGAGAAAAGAGCACTTTGCCCTTGGCTGACCAGGGAAAATATAGACTCCAGAATGACATGCTCACTCCTTGGACTCATCACAGTAGTGAATGAATTAGTCTGGGTCTTGTGCCAGTAGTCCAGTGTCTAATACCAGAAAGGGAAATGGAATTAAAAAGGAAAATGTACCTGCCAATTTATTGACCAAAATTTAAAAGTTGGATAAGGTTTATGCTTTGTTTACCTTATTTTAATTAGATTTATTTCTCTTTTTTTGATATTTTCATGGAAAAGTAAGATATCAAAACTTATTTTTCTTGATTGTATTTTTTTCAAAAAATATATCTAGTAGGAGTAGCAAATTCATATTTCCAAGACCAAGGGTCAACTTCCATTATTGAACACTTGTGTATAAGTGACACGAAGGTATGGATTTTTTTGTTGTCATTGTTGTTGGGGTTTTTTTTCTGTTTTGTTTATGATGCATCCCCTAGTGCCTAGAATAGAGCCTGTCATAAAGTATCTACTTAATAAGTATTTGTTGGGTAAATGAATGATTGAATGTGAAATGCAGCATTATATAAAAAAACCAGCAACATTGTTGGAGAGATGAAATATATAAAGAACACAGTGTAAGTATATTAGCAAGTTCAAAATAATATAGATTATACAGTAGATCAACCAACAAATCCTAAATGAATGCTGAAAGAAATATCAATCAGAGTAGGGTTAGGTTCATTGAAAATGTGTGATCTAAATATATTTTTTGAAATGGCCAAATTTTTTGAAGAGGACATGTACTTAAATCTACAGACTATCTGGCCTAATATTTCTTTTCTTCTCAGATTCATGGCACCTCCTATTTTAATTCAATCTTTGAATTAAGCAATTTTGTCTCAGTTCAACAACTCTATGCCAGTTTAAGTTCACAAATTCTACCTTTGCTATTTTTGCTTTGCTCTTTGAATCACTTCTTCACCTTGTTATTCTTATAAAATTGGCATGTGGAATTTTCAAACTTTGAAATTTGGAAATAACGATATATCACTTATACTACTTGATACCTCTGTACCTTAGGGAGTAACCCTGGCCTCACAAGTTGTATCTGTCTTGTGAGCAAGACCTCCAGGTGGTTGCCATGTGGTTGTGGTTGAGGTTGAGGTCCAATAGCCCCTCTGGCTGAATTTTGTGACCATGGAACTGAAACCTCTACATCACTGCAGTGTGCAAACCAYATATTCATTCTGTGATTGTAATTAACATATGGATTTTATAACTATAGAACTTCTGCCCTCCTGATTCTACTATGGTGCTGCTGGAATGTACCACCTTAGTCTTGCTGCTAACTCCTCTCAGTCTATAAATTGTTCAAGTCCTACACATTAAAAAGTTCCCCAACCTGGGTTGGGGCTATAGCTCAGTAGCAGAACCTTGGCTAGCATGCGTGAGGCATTGGGTTTGATTTTCAGCACCACATAAAAATAAACAAATAAAATTAAGGCATTCTGTCCATCTACAACTACAAAAAAAAAAAAAAAAGTTTCCCAACCTGACCTTCCTTTCAGTTACCACTCCATTCTTTTTCTGTTTCCTTTCATAGCTAACATTTCTCTGTTCTAGTCTCTGTACTTCTTTACTATCTATTTACATCCCTACTTCTAGGACTTTGGTTCCCACTGTTATCATATTTCTAAAACTACATTGACCAGAATCAGCAGAAACCCTTTACTCATCAAATATAATTATACTTTTCTATATTACTTCACTGTTGTTCACTTCTTCATCTTGAAGCTATTTCTTTGGTTTATATTCCAACCCTCCTTCCTGGTTATCCCATTGGATACATTCCTGCTTTGATAGATAGAGGGTGATTTTGCTCCGTATTTGATATCTTACCCTATTTTGAGTTACCATATACTGTGGATGAGAGGCAAGATACATGCATGTGAATGAGAAGTGGGAATGAGTGTGGAAGGCAGATGGGAAAGGGTGACTGGGCTTTATAGATGAGTGGTAGTTTAGCAACCTTTTGGAGGAAGCCACAATTTATGCATCGAGACTGCCAAGCTTGTCTTTAGATCTAGCTATTTTCTCCCTTTAAAGTGAAATAGAACTATGTCTACTTATGGTAACTTGATAGTAATGGGAATAGCCATTGATAAAATGCAAAGCCTTTATCTACTTCTTTAGTTGTTGCCTGTAGTTCATAAATTTTTTTCATTACCATCTAGTTTAACAATTAAGATGAAAGTAATAGTTTATTCTCTTGCAAAGAAAAACAGGAGTTTTATTAACAGAGATCAGTGGCAGTGGCTTAAAATAAATACAGTCAACTGATGTTCCTATAATATTTTTTTTAAATAAAAATGTATTGATTTCAGATTATCTAATTCTGACTGCAAAATTTATGGTATTCTTTCCTCATTTTTCAAAGAATTTTACTCTGATAAATGACTTCAGTACTTGAAAACGAAGTTTGATGATTTCAATTTTATGCCTCTACTTTTTAGAAACAAAGTTTAAAGTTTTTCTCATGCTAATTCACAGAAGAAAAAACCTGACATTCTAACTTGTTTTTGGTTTGACATTTAAATGTTGTAACATCTACCACAGTTCTAAAAAGATAAGGATTAAGGAATGAGGGAGAAAAACTTAGAGTATTTATATGTTTAATTTATTTATCTTGTTCCAAGCACAGCAATGTGTATTCATAAATGTCATATGTTCTTTGTCCAACCATTCCTTTGCTCTTAAAAGCCCAGCACTTTTCTTTAACACATACAATATGGCCTTTTCATGAAATCAAATCCCTGCAGAATGATATATGATGCATCTGCCAAATAAGTAGTTGAGAAGTTGGTATTGGAGAGTCTCCACAAAGTTTTGTCTCTAATCACTCGGGTTAATCTCCTTGGATACACTTGTGTGAAACAAGGTATGTTAAGGGAGAGAGGACAACTTAAATATTTGCACATGCAACTTATTGGTCCCATTTTTTTTTTATTCTTTTGCAGAGAATGGGATAGAGAACTGGCTTCAAAGAAAAATCCCAAACTCATTAATGCCCTTCGGCGATGTTTTTTCTGGAGATTTATGTTCTATGGAATCTTATTATATTTAGGGGTAAGAATCTCTCTTGTAAATATATGATGAATAAAATAATTATATTTTTGTGATTATAGAAGAACTAAGGCAATCTGGTGAGCCAGGGTAAAGAAACAAAGGACTAATCCAACTTCAAACACTAAGAAACCACCTAAAAAAGATTAGTGAAAATCCTCTGGAACTAAGATGTTCCTGAACACAGGTGGCACTTTACAATGTAAAATGGGTCCAGAAAAATGAATTTCTTGTTTAAAATTTTTTCTTTTATGATTTCAAATCATGTTGTCTTATCAGTACATGAGATTACCAGTGCCTTTATTTATCTGTATTCAATAGGAGAATGTCAGGAGACATTGATTTTCAGGAGACAATGTCAGGAGAATTAGGTCAAATTCAGTAATTTATGCATAGGAATATTTGTAATATTTTCAAATCATATTTATATACTGAATTATTTCAAAGAAACATAGCAACAATTTTACATTTGGCAATGAGATACACTTGCAATGTATTTTCTCAATATTCTGTGTCTTCTTCAGTGTAAGAGTGGCATGGTTGAAAACCCAGGTTTTTAAGGACCTTGGATGTTCCCCAGTTGCTCTTGAATGTGACTCTATTATTTTATATATAATCTAAATGGCACTTTGAATCCTTAGTTGTAACCTGAAAAAGGAGGTGACAAGTGGGAAATGTGTCCAGACTTCAAGGGATGGCTGTGCACAATATTGCTTTGGGATACTATAGAGCATATGAATTGACCTGTGTTTTATTCATATGTCTTTCTGCTTCCTGGAGGTAGCAGTGTCATAGGCTGTCCCAATGAAATGCCATGTGAGTTACACTGCTTTAAGAATTTATGTCATACAGTCCAGGGAAAATTCATTTAAAATTTTTCTTGACAAAGATGACTACAGTTAGGTCCAGAGTGTTTCCTAATGGTCTTGATAATCTCTAGAAAAACTTTCTGGCTTTTATAGATCTACAGATTTTATATATATATATTTATATATTTTATATATATATAAAATATAAATAGAGTCATATATGTTGATCTGTCATTAAAAAAGCCAAAAGAATTTCTCCTAGGAGGTGTGTGTGTGTGTGTGTGTGTGTGTGTGTGTGAGAGAGAGAGAGAGAGAGAAAGAGAGAGAGAGAGATGAGAGAGAGAGAGAGAGAGAGAGAGAGAGAGAGAGAGAGAGAGAGAGAGAGAAATACATATATTACAGAATCCTGGAAAAGTTGTGGGAAAAATAATTTGTTAATTAACATGATTTAGCTAACTCAAGAATTAATTATCTTTATTATATCTTTGAGGTCTTTGGGGAACAATTTTTATTCAGTTGAGACCTAGAGTGCTAAGGGAAACCTAAGGGAAAGGAATGGAGTAGGTATAAAGAGGGGATAAGATCTTAATGTCACATGATTTAAAAAGAGATTATGACACCATACATAATGTATTAATTATCCATGGATGAGGTGAGGTAGAAGGCATTTCTGAGCTATCCTGAGTCCTAGGTTACATCTCTGGAAGCAGCAGAGAATTTGAAGGGCAAAATATATTTCAATTCATACTGGTAACCAACTGATTATCGACTAGAAAATGATTCTGGTAGGAAAAGCAGCTGTGAAGTGTGTTTGATGAGAAGATATGGAGGGGGCTATAGGTTTTTAGTCTTGTCAACACAGTTTTCAGTCGTAAAAGTATTGAAAATCAAGTCTCAAAGAATTTAGATAACCACATTAGCTATTTAGACCAGTGCAATTTTTCCAGATATTTGATCTCTTTAAAATTAATTTAATAATTACTTTTAACATTTTAATAGACACATAATAAGTTGCACAATTTAGAGTGTATGGGGTAATATTTTGATACATTTGTGTGATATTTAATGATCAAAACAGGGTACTGACCTCAGACAGCTATTATTTCTTTGTGGTGACAACATTTAAAATTTTCTCTTCTACTTATTTTCAAATATACATTAAATTATTATTAACTATAGTCACTCTACTAGAATTCATTCTTCCTAATTGTAAGTTCATATCTATTAACCAACCTCTCCCCATTCTCTTCTCCCCTCCCTTCTCAGCCTTGTTAACTTTGCTCTTTTTTTCCTTAGAGGAAAAAAAGAAGGAACAAAGGTTCAGCCATTAAAAAAAGACCTCTATCCTTTTAAGAACTGACACCAGTGCCTGACTGTTGTTTTCTTTCTGTGCATTCCTCCTGTTCATTAAATAAGCAGGGATCATGAAGCATGGATTATTGACATGGCTCTAACACTATTCTTAGAAATAGATGGCCATAACTTTCATATGTCTATTTTTAGTCCCTCTACATCATGATAATTGTGGTAAAATAAATATTTGGTTGTTTTCAGGACGAATACAAAAAAAAAGTACTCTAACATTTGCTGTTAATTGTGAAAGGTTAAGAAAAAGGAAATGCCATCATGAAAGAGCTTCTCTTTCTGCAATTCTGATATAATTTTAATCATATTGGCTACCGCTTGTCACCATTAACTCGGCACTTGTTTTTTTCTTCATCTGACTCAGCCGCCAGATACAACATTGTCTTTTAACATTTAAGACTCCCAGCAAAGAAAAGAAGATGGCTGTTGTGAGAGTCATTTAAGGATAGTCTGAGGGAGGCTAAGTAGAGAGCATCTGAAAGGATATGACTTGGGATGGACATCATTATCCTAGGTACTTGTATGACTGCACATACGGTATAACACTACATCGTGTACAACCAGAGAAATGAAGTATATTATCAGTGCAACGTAGGTCAGACTACTTTTCTTAAGTCCCAGGAAGTTTAAGGGCATAAAAAAGTCCTGGTAATCATATTGTCAGAGTCCTCAAGTCCCACAGACTGCATTGTAAAGAAAGATCTTTGTCTCTTATGTTTGGACAAAACATTGGACAGGCACTTGAAAAGCAGCCTACTGGTAAAGAAGGGAGGGTGTTTGGGGGAATTCTTCACATGGACAGGCCCTGCCTTAGGCATTTTGGCTTATGGGTATCCTTTCCATGTGATTAGATCCCTAAGGACTGTTCCCTCCTGCAAATCTTCTAGAGTCCTGCCATGTGGGATTCCTTTCTCATCTTTCTCTGCCATCACCCCATACCCCCATATCTGGCTGTTTCTCTGACCCTGGTGGTAACTTGCACTCTGAGCACCCTCCACTCCTCTTATATCCTCAGGGTTTTTACTCCCTACCCAAACTGGTATCCCCATCCTTAAGAGGTTGTGCTGCCCATTGCTCTCCACATCTTCTACCAGATCCTGTGACAAGAACACTTGGCATTTCAAAGTGTGTCAGAATTTTTTTCTTTGAAATGTAGGAGATTTTTACTTACCTTTAGAGTAACAAGTAGTTGCTTCTGAGATAATGTGGCTTAATTGGTCTGGAATCGGATCTGGGAGAGTATATTTTTGAAGTATTCCCCAGGTGATTCTAATTATCCAGCTGGGCTAAGGACCACTGGTAGATAAGCACCAGTATGTACCCTGAATGACAAAACATTCATTAGATCTAAAATGATGGGATTCAATGTGTTATACACAGAAATTTTTGCTTGTTTTCTTAATGAAAATTCTGGATAATTTTAAATGCAGCAAAATTAATTTTAACTCTTTTAATGACAGAAGGCAGCATTTCTCAAACTTTTATATGCAGACAGTTCACCCAAGGATCTAGTTGAGTCTGGCTTACCAGGTTTGGACTGGGACTTGAGATCTGGTTCTAAGAGCTTTCAGGTAGAGAAATTTGCCCTCAGGCCACATTTTGAGTAGCTAGATCTCTGAGGGTCTTTGTAGAATAAAAGGCCAAATTAGAAGGAAGAGGAGCTGTGCAAAAAATAGACTAATTATGAGGAAAGATTCCTGAATGAAAGTGACAGCCATCCCACTGAGACTAAAATGTGCCTTTTATCTGACAGTTCCAACCTTAGCTGTTAACTTTGTGCTCCTTCCCTCCAGCACCCCCTCTTAAGACTCTTAAGACTGGAGAGGGACAGATGTCAGGGGCATGAGATGGCAGAGCCATAGCTAAGAGGGGCTCTATGTTTCTCTTCCAAGACTGCAACAGGGAGAGATGTTCCATCTTTTCTTGTGGAAACTTTGCTATAAGGTTGGTTAGGCTTTTTCAGGTACTACTGAAATGGAAAGGTGCTCTTAAGAGCATTTAAGGGCAAACCTAGGCTAACCAAGAGATCCAACACCAAGTTCAGTAGAAGATTGTGTTTAAGGCTAAAGACATCTCCTGTTCTTACATCTGAAATTTCAGAACAAATAATATTTGTAAATTAGGAACTGGCTGTGATTGTGTTTTTAGAATTGGGATCAGAAAGGAGGTTGGGATATGATTTATCTCAATCATAGGAAAGAGAGTAGTCTGTAGCATATGAAGTTACATCTATGTCCTATGGTTTCTGATGGATATGACATGGTCAAACAACATACATTACATATGATACTCTCAAGCCTGTATTTTTTCCCAAGGTGCAGCATTATTTTTCTAACTCTTCTGAGATAGGTTTATGCTCTGGTGACATAAACCCATTTGACAATTTTGGGAAAATCTAAGAACTTGTCTGGAACTCAAGTTTCTTTAACTATACAGTTATAAGGGTGATAGTACAGTGTGCCATCTCTAGAATATTTTCCATTTTTAAATTATGTGTTTGTGAGATGGGCCTAGAGAAATAGAACACATATTGTTATATTGATATTAATTTAAATCTTGATTTGTTAGATTAATTTTGAATTGATGATGATGTATGATTGGTAAACAAATAAGAGATTGTCATGTGCCGCAGTCTGGCTGGGCACAAAATCACGAGCCACTCAAGCAGGAACAAACTTTATTTCTGAAACTCCCGCCAATGCCACACTCGCTCCCTGGAAATATGCCGAATCACACACTCGGCCACACTACACCAACAGGAAGGTCCCTCCTCCGGAAATCCCTCCTACCGCATTTCCCCAACCAATGGGAACTCTCCGGGAGTCCCGC